ATTGCGCACGCTATTTCTGTGACCCCACCCAAAAAGAAAGAAAAAAATTGCAATTCCCCTCATTTACACAAAAACTGGTTGTGTTTATAGCTATTAGCCACTTTTTTTTTAAAAAAAATTCATTTTGTGCAAAAATATTTGAGGAATAGATAGATTGATACTGTGAGGGAGCATGAAAATTTGAAGGGCAGAAACATCCATGAAGGAGAAAAGTAAATTCTTACCGAAATTAACTACTATTTTATAGATATCATATTGTCTACAAATTACCCATATCAGTTAATTAGTTGAAACTTTTGTTTATACTAGTTTTTATGCACGTGCAATGCACGTGGTTAAATATCAAAAAATATTTTTTTATATTTATTTCAATACTTTAAATAAGTGATATTTATCTTGAGTTCAAATATGTATAATTGAATTATAAGATTTATTAGTATTTTATTTAAATATTAATAAAATAAATGTAATGGATTTTAAGCTAAACTTGGATGAATATATGTAACTGTGATATTATAATTGTTATTATGAACGGTAGTTATAGTAATGAAGAAAATATTTCAAAATTTTAAGTTTATTCAAATATTTTTTGACTCAAAAAACTAAGATAATTGTTTGATTTATTACAAACTTGTAAATTCTTTTTCTTCTAAGAATTTTAAATTGATCACCACCACTAACACCTAACAGGAACTAAAGTATGAAAGTAAATCTTGATCAAATTTGGTCCCTTATTCAACATGACAACAATCTCGACAAGTAACAATTAGTAAGCCAATGGTTTTTTTTTTTAAACATTGAATATTGAAGTTTGTGACAACGCCAAGCAAAATCATCACAACAGTAATTCTTTGCCAAATGGTTAAAGAGGCCACCTTTATATAATTAATGGTAGATCACATGCTGCGCTAGTTATCACGAAGATTTTTTTACGTCTAGTTGACAATATATGCATTCACAGGATCAATAAAAGCAGATTTTTATCAAATGTCTCTCACGAAATGCAGGATCATATCCATAGACAATAATAAAATATAGAAAAATGGTTAAATATCAAAGAGTAATTTTATGTGATGTAAGCAATCACATAAGCATACAAAACTACTAATAACTTTGTATAAAAATGCCTTATAAAAATTTCTAATTGTAATAAAAAATTAAGTTGTTATATAAAATGATTTAAAAATATTGTTCTTGAAAATTTCTAATTGAACCAAGCTCAATCTTTCTCCACCTTTATCTTTTTTCTGTGCAACTCTAGAGTAGCATCTTCATCATCTACGTCAATTGTAATATCAGGCTGGAGTTAAATTTCTTCTGCTCATCACTCAACCGAGAATATTTAGTTTTTTTAATTCTGGAGATTGGAGTGTTCCCTTCTGTTTAAAAAATATTCATATGGTCTTATAAATACATACACATACATTATATATATATATATATATATATATAAAAACCAGATTTTCTGGCATAAGTCGACTCATGCACAAGGGTAAGTTGACTTATGGTAAGTTGACTTGACAGTGTGCACAAGTCGACTTACGATCTGCGCTGGAATTGTGAATTTTTCCTTTGCCAAGTCGACTTATCAGGTTTGATAAGTCGACTTACGAAGTGTGCTCCAGTTGCTGTTTTTCTCTCTGCCAAGTCGACTTATGCTCTCTGTTAAGTCGACTTACGATGGGTTTTTTGCATAATCAGGTTTCCTGTTTGCAGTCTGATTGGGTTTTTGTTTTGATATAAATAGGGAAACGATTTGTTAGGGTTTTTAATCAGAGATTGAGGAATCTTTTGAGCATTGTGAGAGGGAGATATTGTGAGCAAGGTGAGATCTTTGGTTGAGGGTTAGTTTTATCCAAAAATCAGAGAATAAATTTCTACAAAAGAAAATAATATGTCATATGACCATTAATTTATGAAAACATATGAGGAATGCAGATAGTTAAACAAATTAGCGTAAATTTTCATAAAAATTCAATAGTAAACGATCAACTATAATCATTATTACAATTAAAATATAAAAATTATTGATATTCTTTACTAACCTGATACTCGTAATTATGGAATAAAGCTTTAATATGAAATTGGAATTGAGATGGTATTATCTTGTAGGTAAAAAAATATGTGTCAGAAACTAAGAAAACAATATGAAAATTATTACGATTTGATCATAATTAGAATATTTAATCAATAATAGTTCTGATAATAGTTCCGATAATTTGTTAATCTAAATAGTTCTGATAATCTTCCGATAATAATCTGATAATAGTTATGATAAATAGTTCTCTTATTATAATAATCTGTTATTATCATAATTTGTTATGTTTCCTCTTTTGTGTATAAGGTTGTCTTGTCTTACAGTAGGACTTTTAAGTTTGTTTTTTTATTTCATATAATTCATAATCCTTTATTTTGTTCATGTTTTTTTACTGTGTATATCATTCTAGGACTTAGTGATCGACTATTAGCTTGAACTTGAGTTGTGATGTTGACTATATGGTTTTCAGGCATTGTGTTGTAAGCTGAAATAACTCCCTCCAGTATTTGTTTGTCAATTAGATAGTTTCTGCTTAGTTTTCTTACACTTTCTCTCTGATTATTACTGTTTTTCACTTTTTTGTTTTTAGTTATTTTGTTCTACTACTACCATTACTACTATCCTTTTGTCTCCTGGATGTTTTATTATGTTGCTCCATCATCATTTGCTCGCGATTCTATGGAGGTTCTTTATCTGCTTGTCATCTAGCATCAAGTTTTGATCAGGATACATACTTTTCACGTAATTTCCTTGTCAACCAAAATGGATGGTCACGATGGCAGCTGCTTGTAGTTTGGTTAATATTTCATCTTTTTAATTTAGAGCTTGCGCTCTACAACAACTGGCCATGGGTAAACATTATTTGGACATTTTGCATTAAATATACATGTTATTTGTATCATTTTGCAGCAAGTCATAGTTCTGATAAGAAGATTATTCTATAAATTATGTTGGTCAATGCATTGGTGCAAAATATTTGAACTTATTACTTATATAATGAGGATCTTTGAACTTATATTTTTATGTTTTGAACTGATAGAAATTTATAGTTCTTAATGCAGATTTGCAATTTGGGTTCATTTCGTAAGCAGGTTGACAATGGCTGATCTGTTTCTGTTGGCTACTTCTGCCATCATCTATTGATCGTATGCACTATGCATGCACGTGAACAATCATTTAATGGAAGAAGAACTTGCGAAGGATGTAGAATTGACAAAACAAATATAAAAGGGACTAAATATTACTCAAGCCATGGTACACAAAAATAGAAACTAATTAAAAGCATGCAAAGAAAAAAAAGGAAAAGTATATGTCTTCTATTTCAGTTTATTTAATTAAAATGCATAATCAAATAAATCTAAATTAAAATAATAGCAAACATGAAAATTTACCTTGATGTGGAAACCTGCAACAATCAAATCTTTAATCTTCTAAATTCTGGATGAAAATTAAAAATTGAATAAATTTTAAAATAATATCAATTGCCATAAAAAGTAATTGTAGTGTCGAACAAGTGTCACTCTTAAATCAAATACACAAAATTTCTATAGAATAATCATGGAAAAAAAACTTACATGTTGAAGGAGAGATGGAGTTACTATAAAAATTATGTAATTTCTTGGTTTATATATAGGCATGAGGTATTGCATGTGATAGGATAATAGTCATAATTAGAGTTTTATTATGATTTGAATTGTGTTACAATCAAACGGGGATTTGTAATATACAGCAAGCGTTCAAATCTACACCGTTCTGCGCTTTGTTATGAATGTAGCTTGTTTTCAATGCGGCTACAGATAAGAATGTGAAATTGAATATTTAATCAATATTTATATGTAGCAGGCGTTCATATCTACACTGTTCGGGGATTTGCTTTCAAATGCAGTTTGATTTCAATGCAGTTCGATTTCAATGCGGCTACAGATAAGATAAGAATGTGAAATTGAATATTTAATCATAATTTATATGCAGCAGATTGATTGTCAATCATAAGTAATATAATAATGATGTAATAGCAACAGATTGATTGTCAATCGGGGATTTGTTTTCAATGCGTGCAGCTTGTTTTCAATGCGGCTACAGATAAGATAAAAATGTGACATTGAATATTTATAATCAATATTTATATGCAGCAGGCGTTCACATCTACATCGTTCGGATCTGGAATAAATAATTAAATTTAATTTAAAAATTAGAATTTGATTATAAATAGGATAGTTCAAACTTTACAGGGGTATTTTTGTCTACAGAAAGATTTTCCGAACTCGTGCTTTTAAAGGAAGTATGATAGATAGAAAATTTATTAAAATAGAAACTTTTATTTATCTACTGAATCGATAATGTATTATAATATTTGTTACTTTTGAATTAATGCGATACAAAAGAGCTCTAAAATCACATGGAGAAAAGATGGAGAAGAAAAACACAGAATGGGCGACCTCTGACTGAGAGGAAAATATTTAACACAATACTGTATTTTCGAATCACAATAACTGAGCGCCATTTTAAGCTGAGATGACGTGTAATGTACAAATTACCAACTAATAAAAACCAGTTATATACATGTCATATTAGTATTTGGAATCATGACCAAACATTAAATTATGAAAAGGAGATCTAGCATTTATGTTTATTTCAAAAATTGATACAGACTCAAGAAAAAAAAGGGTTAATAATCATATGCATTATAAGTGAGTATGCTCACTCACCTCATCAGGAAGTAGCGAAATTGGGCAATGTATATGAACTGAGTGATAATTGAGGAAAAGGATAAAATAGATCACAAACTAACTCGCAAAATATCCGAATCCCAATCCGAATTTGAATCCGATATTTACATCAAATCCTGATCCAAATCTATGTTGCAGAAAGAAAAGCCTATTCCAGATATATCCACATCTAAAGGGATAATACAAGTCTAACCAAATCATGAATCCATAGATTGCTCCCCCTTTTGGTAGTGAATCTGCAGGTATAAAACAATGCCAAACAATTATCCTAAAAAAACCAATGCCAAACATTAACCTCAAACAGAAAGCATCTCTAAAAGATCCAAGCTCCTAAATATAAAATTAAGAATCCATGAGAAAATCTCCAGAACAAAAGTTCCAACTACCAAGAGTACTTTCTAGTAGCAGACAGCCATGAAAACCTAAATCACGTCCTAAAATAATTATCGCCATTGCTATGATGTTAGAGACCCTAAGCTATGTTCCAAAAAAATCCCTGACTAAATTATTGCTCACTTGACTATATGAATGAGGTGCATCTTACTGCACGTAACTGCAAATATGAACCTTAATCATTTAAGGTCAGAGAGGACGACCGATCAGCAGCATCTGAGCCTGTAGAATGAGAACGCAAAACTTCCATGGCTTCGTACACTTTCTTTTTGAGAACTTCGGGTGATTCAATGAGGTGCAGGACTTCAGTCTGGTCCATCTCCAGCAGCATCCCAGTCACTTTTCCAGCATGCTCTCCTTCAATGCGTTCGACAAGTGGGTACAGTTGTTCGCCAAGCATCTGAAATGCAATACAAAAGGATAAAATATGATCTAAGGGGAAAAAAAAAGTATATGAATCCCACTATTCAAATTAGAACTTCTAGCTAATCCACAAAAGTACTAATAGACTTGGTAATCTACAAAATGACTATGAAGAGTAAATCCACCAGCAGTCACAATTCATTGCTTGAGTTTTAGTTAGGTAAGTAGTTCAAACCACATCAGAGAATTATGGATTACATTTTCCGCTGTGTATGTGGTGATAGGTTGTGCTTTTCCCTCTTAAAGACCCCCCTTATTCTATTCAATGAATAACAAGCCTTTAATAAGTATTTTTCTTTCTTGTCTATTGCAAATGAATAACGTTGCGTTATTAGAAAGGAAACATCAGTACATATAAAGATATGTTTAAAGTCCATCTTGTAGAGTGTCAGGTTTCCATTTAATGATGTCTCCCCGAGTTTAGATAGTAATGGAATAAGAATAATTCAATTCCCTCAATTTAAAGATCATGCTTTAGTATCTCACTGTTAAAAAAAAGAATTATTAGATAACAGAAGGCCTCAATTTCCATTTCAATTCGACTAGTGTTTCATGTGAAATGCCAACATAAGAATGTCAGTAATTTGCATATACTTATACATACAGGAAAGTGGCAGTTGAGAATAGGAACAGGTGGAAAAAAGGGTCCAAAAGTGAACCATACATGACATGAATTTTAGAATTGACTAAAACAGATTTATTTTAGACTCCAGGATAGGCTAAATGTAAAAAGACAAGGCAAATGGAGGATCCAGATTTTTAAGCTAAAAATAAAGCATGCACTAAACCATGTACTTTTTTCTATCATGGATGCCCAAAGCAAAGCACTGGAGGTATAATGATGAATATGAATTACATGAGATCTTGGTGCTCGATACTCCGAAAAGCAGGTGCAATAACAAATGCCTGTCGAGTGTTTACTTGCATTTCCTTCAATAGTTAAAATAATTCTAAAAGATCCAACAGGACTATCTGTACAAAGTAGATAGTTCTAGTTTACATGTTGTACAAGGCGAGTTTCATCAAAATAGGGTTCTCATTACCATAGAGGTCAAATAAAGCACAAAATACAAGCAAAACGAAATAAGTGTACATGGGAGAAATGCATTGAGATCTTGGTGCTCGATACTCTGAAAGGCAGGTGCAATAACAAATGCCTATCGAGTGTTTATTTGCATTTCCTTCAATAGTTAAAAAAATTCTGAAAGATCCAACAGGACTATCTGTACAAAGTAGATAGTCCTAGTTTTAGATGTTGTACAAGGCGAGTTTCATCAAAATAGGGTTCTCATTACCACAGAGGTCAAATAAAGCACAAAAGACAAGCAAAACGAAATAAGTGTACATGGGAGATATGCATTGAGTCCAGTAGCATCTAAAACAAATTCATCATGTTAGAGATCAAGTCAAACCAATCATACCGAATGCTGATTCTCAGGAGTAGCAGAAGCTAGAGAAGAGGCAAGCGCTGAAATAGGAATTGGTGGAGATTGGGCTGCATCCATGGGGACCATTGAATTTCCGCTCATATTAAAGGGCATGGCGTGACCCGTTGGACCTTGAGGCATCATGGATGAGTAGACAATATTCCTCGCATTTTGCAGATATCTGAAGCCTGGATTAGCATTGCGCTGGACCAGCCAGAAAACAAACCACCACGGTCAGAGAAAAGGTAAGACAAACTAGTCAAAAGGGGGATAAAATAGAACCCCTAATCCTAAAAGAGAAGATCAAACTCCAGGACGAAAAATATTAGAACCCCATAAGATCATCACACATAAATGATATTGAATAGAAGGAAGATTTAACTTAAGAACCATGGTAACATCCACTTAGCAGAACCACATATGGCTAGCTACATGGTCATTAACGGGTTAGCAATTCTCTTCCACTGTAAATTAGCTATAAGCTAGTTCCCGAATATGAATATCAACTAAAATAAGTGGCAGAGAAAAGTGCATTACTAAGGCACAGGAACTTAAACTAAGGAAGTACATTCAGTTAAGAAAAAAATGTAGCTTATCAAGATATATTGTCTATTGTTTATGGATGCATCACTGCTTTGATAGCATATTTCATGTACAATGCAGAGAAAAAAGTGCCATATACCTCAAAACTGTCAAACACGGCACAAAAAAAAAGCTTTTCTATGTAAAGACAGTGACAAGCCTATAAATTCAAAGGCAGAATGAGTATGATCCCTTTGTTGAAATAAAATGCCCTTCAACCTTGGTGACCAGTAAAGAAACAAGATCTCCGCCCACTTCACCACCTTTTACATGGTGAAAATCTGATTCTAATCAGAAAAGAAATAGCAATCCATTGGCCTAACCCATGTATAGATAAAACATTAACAGTAAGTGGACATATCATTTAAAGGAAACTAAAGAACAAAAAGAAGAAAAGCATAGAAATGTTGCAGCTAAATACCGGTTGGGGCTGTTGGTGAACCCCACTTCGCCTAATACCCATCCGATGGCCAAGTTGTCCATGTCTTTGGAGGTCGTAAGGAATCATGAAATTTGGTGCAACACCAGGCCGAAACCCTGGAACAAGTTGTTGTTGAAAGCCAAACCCTGCAGGTTGGGGTGGAACCAGACCAGCAGTTCCCTGACCATAATACAAGTGTTGTGGCGCAAGCCTTGGCGCACCAGGATGATAGCTCATGGTTGGCATTGCTGGGCTCAGAGGCCCAGGAGATCTAACCTGAGAAAATTTTGCCTGCAAAACAAAAATGAAAAGCTTCAGGAAGAGGTTATGAAAGCACAAAGGGAAAACAAGAATAAAACAAGCATACTATAATAAGGTAATTCTTAGAAAAAAATGCAATATTAATCCTTAATTAGGCGCTCGGGGGCATTGCAATAGAAATGAGAGATATCATGAATTCATAAAGCAGCAAGCATGTAAAGAACCCACAACTTGCTAGGTCAAATAAAGGTACAACTGGATCCATATATTCTTTTCTCCCTGATAGCCTATGATTGTGTCAGGTGCAGTAAAATTTACATCTATGTTGCACAAGTATATAGCCCATAACCTATGCATACAGCATCATAGATGAATATCAATAAACACCTAAGCTACATCATAGATTATATATGCAGCATGTATACATATACATTTTCCTGGCAATTTCAGACCGTATGCAAATATACTCAAAATTTACTCATTAATTTTTCCCAATAGACATTTTAGTTAGAGGCGGCATATCAAGAAAGCTAAGCTCTTGGGTGAATTGAATGAAAAGACATGAAAATATAAACATGAAAATATAGACTACGAAGAATCAAAAAGAGGAATGTTTACAAAGTAGAGATGGTCCTTGGATGGCATAAAGCCAACACAAACGGAAGCAAAAAAATTTATTTAACTAGAACTATGTTACATTACCATAAAGAAAGATTCTGAATTAAGCTTAAGCAAAATGCATAGACCGGACTTACGTAAATGATCATCATAGACTAGACAAAGATGGCTCACTAGTTTACAACTGTGATTTTGTTATATTTAAATGATACTTTACAATTTAAGTCCACAATGCATATATAACATGATAAAAAAATAATTACGTTTCACCAAATCTAATTTAACTTCGCAAAGGAGCATACAAATAGTCTGGTCAGTTTGGAATTTCTATGATCAATCTGCTGAACTGCAAGGCTAATCAAAATAGTTATCAGTCCTAAGAATGGGCACAAATTGCATGAATCCTAGCCTATTACAAAATATAATTGAAACAAGTGAATAAAATGAGCAGAAAGCAGAGCTTATCACTAATGATGCAGATTGAAGAAAAGTTCACGGACCAACCAGAAGCCGAAGGGGATCTGACTCACTCAATAAGCTATTTGTCTATTGGGATTTTAGGTTGGTTTTAAGCCTTTAAGGTGTAGTCCAGTTTGTTCATAGAATATGCCGCATCTTATTGTATAAGTGCATTTTTAAGACATAGTGGTTTGCCGATGATAGATAAAATAATCCAGCAAATTAATAAATATGGGTTGTGCAGAGCTGCTTGCTAGAATCTTCACCTGACACAATAACTTCATGACGACCTTTACAAATGCCCATCATCCAATTATAGAATGTAGCAGTGAACATATGGCAATAAGAAACAGCATATGCCGAATGATAACTCGAAAATGAAAAATGGAGTGTTACTTTAATTTTGTGAAAATCTCTGTAACAAATGCCAGTAAAGGGGCGGAAAAAGAAGTCGAACCTGCAAAGTCGCTCTTCTCTCCTCTTTCCGTTGAGCAACAGCAACATACAAGGGTTTTCTTCCAACCATTTTTCCATTCATTTCTCTTAACTAAACAGAAACAAATGTCAATAACATTTTTTGTTTGGAAAAGAATTTACACAACAAATTACCATATAAGTTCAAATTCCACAATGATTCTACTTACAACTCGATTAGCTTCCTCAGGGCTAGAAAATGCCACGAAACCATAACCCTTGCTCTGCCCTAGAGAATCAGTCATTACCTAAATAAAAAAGAGCAAGGCATGAGATCTGTTCACCGATTGTAAAAATCAATCGACAGTAAAGAGGTGAATATTAATGTACCTTGCAGGAGGTAATAGTGCCAAATTTAGAAAACAAATCAAAAAGTTTCTCATCATCACAGGTGTCATCAAGGTTTTTCAAGAACAAATTAGCTCCCTGCAATTTTTGTAATCTTCCGTACCTCTCCTGCTCATATTTAGCTCTCAGTTCTGCCTCTCTTTCAGCTTTCTTTTGAGCCCTTCCCACGTATAACAACTTCTCATTATAGACTTTGCCATTAAATTTCTCAACAGCAACCGCAGCATCTTCATGATTATCAAAATTCACAAAGCCAAATCCTCTTGAATTTCCCTTTTCATCTGTCATAACTATTGCACTATTGATAGGACCACATTCCTTAAACATTTCGATCAAGTTATCCTTTGTAACTGATTCAGACAAATTTTTTACAAACACATTTGTGAACTTTGGAGATCCATTTACCCGATCCCTCTCCTGTCGGCGAATAAATAGCCCAACATATACCTTTCTATTGTTAAACAGCATGCCGTTAAGCTGTGATATAGCCTTTTGAGCCGATTCTTCATGTTCAAACTGTACAAAAGCATATCCTCTTGATTTACCACTGCTATCAGAGGCAACCTTGCATGAAAGCACAGTGCCAAAGGAGGCAAAAGTTTCGTGCAATGTCTTGTTGTCAATGGTTGGGTCAAGATTTTTAATAAATATATTACCATGACCACTTTTCCTCATGCTAGGATCTCTGTTTGAGAACATGATCCTAATAGGCTTCTTATTAATAGTAGTAAAATTCAGTGTCTTCAAAGCTCGAGTGGCTGCATAACATTGAAACTTGATAAAGTCACTACATAGTTTTCATTATACTCAACATGCATAAGAAGACATTCTAAAAAGGTTCAGAAAATAAAGCAAAAGAAAACTCTTAGAATCAATAAATATAAGCAAACATGGTATTTGAACGATTATGCCACCATTTCAGCGGGGAATAATTCTCATTATTTACCTAAAAAGATAAGTTATAATAAAGCTCGTCAGGTTGAGAGCGAAATATTTTTAATCTCACATTTATCTTTCCCGTGATAGCCAAAATAAGATGCGGTAAAGACATTTCTCATCAAAGCAAATTAAGTGCAAACTCCAATCAATTTAAGACAGAACATATGAGCATGTATAACAGAAAGAAACTTTATAAATATATTTTCAGATAGCAAACAAGAAATGTGGTTGTATTTGTGCTCCGGAATCTCTAGAAAGATATGTACTTGATACAGTTATTGAAAAGACCATGTGGTAATAAATATGATGTACAGTTTGATTTGTATCATTTGATGTTGTGTACAAGTCGTACACCATTGAATTTTGAACACAAAAATCTGATCCAAATGATTCCACCAAAATTGGTTATTAACAGTTATACACCGTTGTTGGCTAATAACCAACTATATAAAATGAGATCTTTTGAAGTACTGATAGTTGATTTATAATGTTCCCTCATATGGGGAAAAAGAAAGCTAATATCAAAAAATAGGAAACTTGTGATTAAACTCTGAAGTATAACAGTAATTTTAACTCCACATCTGTGCAAACCCCCCATATTGATGCCAGCAAAATGTCCATGAGTTAGTCAAATGTTTCAAGTATAAACATTATTTAGCATGTCAATAGAAACTTTTAGCAGTGCATAAGTCTAGCACATAGCAGCAAAATAAGAAATTATTAGGGAGGCTTATCTGGTGTTGTTAAAATAGGTTGCAAGAAAATTTTTGAGCACCCGACACACTGTCGTCCAAATAGTACATACCTCCTCTCTCATGTCGAGCCTCATATCTCTTCTGACTTAGATGTTCCTATTACTCTTCGTAAAGGTAAATGGTCTTGCCCAAAATATCTTATCTCTCTTTTTGTCTCTTATGACCGTCTCACCCCATCTTTTCGTCAGTTTGCTTTGTCCTTGTCCACTATATCTTTACCCAGGTCACATGAGGAAGCTTTGTTAGTACCCGCTTGGAAACAGGCTATGGATGAGGAGATGAATGCACTGCTTTCTAGAGGGATTTGAAATTTGGTCTCTCTACCTACTGGAGCGACTATGGTTGGCTGTAGATGGGTGTATACCTTGAAATATTATCCTGATGGGTCTGTTGATAGATATAAAGCTCGCCTAGTTGCTAAAGAATATACCCAGACATATGGTATTGACTATTTTGAAACTTTTTTTCCCGTTGCTCGTCTTAACTCCATCAGAATTCTTTTCTCTCTGGCTGTTAATATGGATTGGACGATGCACCAACTAGATGTGAAGAATACTTTTCTTTATGGTGATTTGGACGAGGAGGTTTATATGGAGCAACCTCATGGGTATGTTGCTCAGGGGTAGAATCTTATCTGCAGGTTGAGAAAGGCCATCTATAGGTTAAAGCAGAGTCCTCGAGCTTGGTTTGATAAGTTCAGCAAGATTATTTTCTAATGTTGGTTTCCAACGTTGTCAGTCTGATCACTCTGTCTTTCTTCGATGCACAACAACTGGTTTTGTTATTTTAGTCGTATATGTTGATGATATTCTACTGACTGAGAGTGACTCTGTTGCCTTAGTTGAGACTAAGGAGTATCTAAACCGTTATTTTGTCAGTAAGGACATGAGAAAGCCAAAGCATTTTCTTGGGATTGAAGTTGCATATCAAAAACATGGCCTGTTGTCCCAAATAAAGTATGTGCTAGATTTACTAGAAGAAGTAGGTCTCTTGAAATGCAAACCTGCAAGCACTCTAATGGAGACAAATATTGATTTGTGGCGTGATGATACCTCTCTACTAGATGATGCTGGACGATATAGGAGACTAATTAGGAAGCTAATATATTTGACAGTTATCAGATCTGATATTACTTTTGCAGTAGGTGTACTGAGCAGGTTTATGCACAAACCTAGAGAGTTTCATTGGACAGCAGCTCTGAAGATTTTGGTATATACCAAGAGTTGTCCTGGCAAGGGATTGTTATATAAGAAGCATGAACATACTCACATTTCGGCTTTCTCTGATGCTGGCTACGCAGGAGACATGGAAGACCAAAAGTCAACCTCAGGATTTTGTACTTTTGTTAGAGGTAATCTTGTGACTTGGAGAAACAAGAAACAAGATGTAGTATCACAATCTAGTACAGAGACTGAATATAGAACAATGGCTCACACTGTTTGTGAGATGGTGTGGCTAAGAAAGTTTATGACAGAGCTTAGTTTTGTTCAGCCTGGACCCATACCAATGCATTGTGACAACCAGTCTGCCATTTATATTGCACAGAATCTTATGTTTCATGAGAGGACAAAACATATTGAAGTTGACTGTAATTTTGTCAGAGATGCTTAGGAGAAGAAGATGATATCTCTCATATTCACTCCGTCCTCATAGCAACTTGCTGATATTCTTACTAATGTTACTTCTTCAAAGGTGTTTTCTACTATATGTGACAAGCTAGGCATGATGGATATTTATGCTCCAACTTGAGGGGGAGTGTTAGATTAAGTAAATTGGGTATTGGGTTAATGGGCTGTGACCTGTTAACCATACCCTTATTGTATGACTATATATATATCTCTCTAGTATCTGAATAAATCAATTAAGTTAGGGTTTTTGCTCTCTCAATTATCTCTTTCTATAATTTTTATATTAGTATTATGTATGTATGAATGTATAACAAGATTCACTATTTAGTATCGTTATTTTCCTATAAATTTCTCATTGCTACGTTCTCAAAAAGTTGTTATAGTAAATTTCTGCATGTATGTCTAAAATGCATTTTACATTATTCCCCTAGGATTATGAATGGGCCCAAAAAGCTCAAAGCTTGGCACAAACTCACTGTAAATGAAATGAATCAAGCTTGAACAAAGTTTACGTTCATTTAAATAATTGAATGAGTTACTGAATATGAAAACCTTAAATTTGGATTATTCAGCTCCTTTAGCAACCCTACTTTTGTATCTTACTAATCCTTTTCTGAATTCCATATTCAGATGCAAGCTGCAACGTTGCACTGGCTACGTTATTTTGTAAAACACACTAATTATTAGATAATTAGTGAAAGAGCATTCTGCTCCAAATAGTTTATCTTCAGTTAAATGCAAGACCTAATCATCCCAAAGAAAAAATTAACGTTGAAGAATCTTAAAGCTTGCAAATTGCTTCCTCACAAAACCACAATGAAAACTACAATAAATACAAATTTTTTGGGGTATGCTACATAAATATTTTTCTTCATGCAGCTATATAGGCATTTTCTCAGTTAAATAGTTAAATTAACGAAAATAGTATATTTTTTAACTGCCTCCATCCATGATTATTTAGGATTATATACAGTACTCATTGTTGTTCCGTTAGGTACAATACGATAAGTTGCACAATTATAAATAGCCCCGCAATAGCGGCGCTAATAGCGTTAGCGGTCCCTTCCCGCTACGCTATCGCCCAATAGCGGTGACATATTACAGAATATGCGTTTTCCGTTCGCAAAAACAGCCAATAGCGCGCCCTAACGGTAAATAGCGGGTGATTACGTGCAAAATCCGTTTTTTTATTGCTATTTAAAAGCAGTTTGGGGTTTATTTTTTTAAATTTAAACCCAACCTTTAACCACTGCATTCCACCGCCTCCCGCGATTTTTAGCGTGCTCCCACCGCCTCTCATAGCCTCTGACACTTAACTCAGCACTTTCTCTCACCTTCTTCACCGTGAGCTTCTTCTAGGACAATCCTCTCACCGCTTAGCTCATCTTCTTGAAAACAACGACTCTTTGACTTATCCTCCAGTCGTCTTTGGTATTATGTGACGATTATATGTCTATTTCATATTTAGGATCTCTTTAAATCATCAAATATACACTTTTAGATTTTCTAGATTTTTCTTTAATCTTTTTTTAGTATTTACACATCTAAATTAGACCGCTATTTGATTTTACGTTTTTTACCGCTATTTTACCGTAATAGCCCCAAATAGCCTTAGCGATGTCTCACCGCTACGCGGCACTATCCGCTATCGATAATCTTGATAAGTTGTAATTGGCACTAAATTTTCACTGCTGGATATGCCTCAAAACTATCGCATTTGGTTCCATTTAAAAGTAAATGAAACAATATCACAGTAGGCTTCTTAAAGTGCATGAGAGAATGGCGCTTTAAATCTGAACAGATATTTGATTCGATGCTTCATAATTAACCTTAAGCTATTCTAGCCAAATACCGAATTTAAAAAAAGTACAATATTCCTTCCCTCAAAATTTTTACGCTGAAATATACAAGCCTATCAGGGGACATTATTTATTGGGTGTAGTAGTCAAAGCAACAAATTGGCATATGGTTGGCTGCATCCTTCCTTTTCCACTAATCTTTCAATACAAAACTAGAACTACTTCCTTGTTGGAATTGGGGTGTCGACCAAACATTGCAGGCGAAGTCCGCAGCTGCAGGCGAGCTCACGACCTTCAGGCGAGCTCGAGGAAACCAACAAGCGAGATTCGAAGTCGAGAAGCTTCAGGCAAACGCGGCTTCAAGCGAACGCGGTTTCAAGCGAGCTCGTGAGCAGGTGAGAAGCTTCAGGCGAACGCGGCTTTAGGAGAGCTCGTGAGCAGGCGAGGTCCACGAGCTGCAGGCGAAGTTGGACGAACTCGAGCTGGCGATTTCGAACAGGCGAGCTCCAGCGATAGCCTGGCGACAGGCTGTCACTAGGGTTTCCCTATAAAAGGGAATTATTGTTCCTAAGCCAAATTAGACTCCCCCTCTCTCCCTCTTCGATTCCAAGCGGCGGCGGCGGC